CAGGTATGTTACGCGCGTGCGAGTGTTATATTAAAATTCGTGCGCCGAATTGAAAAATAAAAAAAATTTTATTTGTCAGCACTGGGCATGATCAAGGGCGCTTTACGGATTAATTGCCGAAAGATTCTTCGCTCGTGAGTACGCAATATAATTATCCTACCTATCAGACGCACTAACTGTTTGTTAGTACGGCTGTGTGAGTTAGTATTTAAAATATTGTCACGAGCGTTGCGCGTAATCACCAACAATCGCTTTTAATAATATTAAAAAAAAACTTTACGTTACGACAATGTCAAATAAAATTATTCAATTAAATTAATTTCGTTTGAAAATTGCCGGTGTTAGTTTTCCCCGGGCCAACGGGTATAATATTATTTACGGCAACTTTCAAAATTCGTTGGTGTTTACGCTCGAGAATCTTTCGGTCGCACTCGCACGCGTTCACAGTCAATGTTTACAATTTTTCGCCGCGGCGGGCCTTCGCAAGCTAGCTAACGGGCTTTGTTTACTATTGTGGCTTTCGGTGTCGAGTGCGCACAACAACACTTGACTGCCACCTGAGCTACTGGTTGACCGAGCGCAAGGTTAATATTAAGAACCGGTGTTTTGCACTATCAAAAACACCGTAGGTTCTTTAACGTTGGGCGCCATGTAACGGGGTATGACCGTTTAATTATTATATTCGCGCGATTACCTTGAAAAGACACGCGAAATTGTCAATGCTCACTACTAATCCGGGAGAGCACGAGAAAGTATGCGTCAGTCAACCGATAATCGTTAATAACCTATACTAAATTGAGTGGAAGCTATGTGAGGTGAGAGAATCAATGAAAACACTTGTTAGTAAGGTAAATCGGATCTTTTATTGTCCCTCAAAACTCACAAAAGGTCGGCCCGCGCGTTTGTTTACATGCACGCTCACTCGTCGACAACACACTTTGCCGGTACACACGCTGCTCTTTGTTATTAGAGCTGACGCTACATGCACGCATCGAATGTTAGAATTAAATCGTTATTCGTAATATCGCGATCGCGAAATTAAGCTGGCCAGCTTACCTTTTATTTGCAGGCGATCGGAGAAAAACTACGGCAGGTCGCACAGCACGGAACAGTTTTTGATATTGTTTTTGTTCGCGGATCGCGAGTGCGCGCACACAGTGGTTTCGCCCTCGATGGCGAAACCTCCCACACTCTCTCTCGCTCTCGTTCTGGCCTCTGGCTCGTACTTGATAGCTCCTTGGAGGCTGCGATCCCGGATCACTGGCTGCTGCTGCTCTGTCGCGTTATATTCGTCGAGGATGCGTAATTTGGCGGTGATAATAGCGATAGCGGGCGGACACTACGATGGTCTAGGCTTCACTGGTTCAAATTCGTTCGCGCGCGTTCCGTCTGCTCGCGTGCCGAATTCCTTCGTTACCTATTCTGTCCCTCCGGCAGGTGCTGCCCTCACAGGCAGCAATTATGCTAAACGGTCAGCGCTAATTTGACGTTTACCGTCACAAGAGAAAAAGTTCAAATAAATAATGACGTCAAATATGAAAAAAAAGCCTGAAAGGCATGGAAAATCTAGTTTATTTTTGCTATAGCATAGTTGAACAGAACTAACGAAGAATGAGACAAAGATGATTCGCAATAAAGAAAAAACGAATGTTATTCGAATGCACGCACGCACTAAGGAATTCCTCGGCACACATACAAACTAGTTTCGAACACGGAGACAACCTGTCGTCAAGCCTGTGGCCGAATCGCCACAAGTGATTATAGATACAATCGCTGGATTTATTAGAAAATGATTGTTGCTCGGTGATAAGACGAGCTCTTTATCACAGATGTAGCACGCGATACTGAATTTCGTTGTTTGTTTGATTTTTGTTAAGTTGTATGTTATTGATCTTATTAATTTGTTAATTTTTTGTGTTGCTATTTGTCAACGATTAAACTGTTGTAATTTTTATTTTGATTATTAATATCCGTTGATGCTTAACTCTGAAGCACTCGAATTCACTGCAGCACAATACGAGAGATAACTGTTCGCATGGGCTTCACTAGTTATACTAACTATGAGTTGGTAAAAACACGGGAGAAGCACTAAGTAGTTGGCACCACTTTTTACTGTGATCACGGTATTGTGACGACGGAACACAATTGTCTTATCTATAAGTAAAATAATATCATGGCTGATTATCAAGCTGATCAAATAGTTTATATAATAATGGCTTTAAGGCAATGTAATGCTAAGTAGCTAGGCGGTATGCTGAGTTGTATCCACAAAGGAGACATCCGACTGATATGATCACTAAAACTATAACTTAAAGTGCTTTTGGTGGTCACCTTATTCTTCTACGCAGGAATCACGAATACGATGAAAACCACGCTCGTTTTGTGACTATTTTAGCAGTTGTTTATCTCGAGTCACATATTAGTACACGCTAAATTGAACAAGAACTTGGTATTACCAGTGCGACGGTTTCAAGGATTCTGAAAATTCTTAACCATCATACCTACCATATAACTTTAGCTCAGGAACTAAGGCAGAACCATATTCAATTGCGCATTGAATTTTGTCACTGGGCTTTAAGAATGATGGAAAATAATCCAGATTTTTTCAAATACGTCATTTTTTCGGATAACGCAAAATTTTATATCGATGGGTGACTAAACAAGCACAATTATCACTATTGGTCAGATGTGAACCCTCACTGGCACAGAACGATGGATCATCAAAATCGGTGGATCATCATGGTATGATGTGGAATAGTTAATGGTCACTTGATAGATCCATATTTCTTTGAGCGAAATGTCGATAAAAATAGCTATTTAGAATTACTAACAATAAGAGATCACTTTCCAGTACTTTTTGAAAACGTCGACCTAGCTACAAGACAAAGATGGCTTTAGCAAGATAGCACAGCACCACAGTTTGCACGAATCGTTAGAGAATTTTTCAATAACAACTACAATGAGAGATGGATTGAACGAGGAAGTTCAGTTAACTGGCCTGATAATTCATCAGATATGACGTTACTAGATTTTTCTTGTGGGGGTATGTAAAAAATGTAGTTTTTGCTCAACGACTTACGACAAGAGAAGATTTTATAAATACAATTCGTAGAACTTATGCATTATATCCTAGAACAGCGTTGCTCAAGACTGTGGATCATTTCCAAAGTCAATTACGCCAGTACTTGAAAGTAAACGAAGGTAACTTCGAACATTTACTCCGTGGATAGATAATGTCAACCGTAGTAATGATGTTAAGAGGTATGGGGAGTTACGTTAAACAAGCACCTTAAATGAAGCAGATCGTATTACGTCTTTGTCCTTGTTTCTAGGTAACGCTAAAAGTAACGACCTACTATTATTAGAAAGACCTTAAAGACAATAGAGCAACGTTGCTGGAACTTCTGTAGATAAATGTCCGCGAAAACTCCCAGAATAGTATTTTTAGCGATTATCATGGAAATTGAAAAGTTTCCTTTACTGAAAGCGATTCGGCCTCCATGTGATACCATCACGTTGCACGGCATAGAAACCTAACATCAAATTCATATTTCACGACTACAAAAATTTCTTAATTGATTGGTCGGCTTTATCAAGACTTGTTATGATTGAACCTTGCGGAGATTACAAAAAAATGTTTGAAGATCGGGTTTGGATGTGAAATTTCCCGCTTTTCGATTCCGACGTTAAAAAGAGATTCCCGTTTAAAAAATAATGTCAATTATGAAATAACCTTGAAAAATTACTTCAAGGTCAAATTGAAGGTGACCGAAAGTTGATCCCTATTGGCACATACAATTTTCGTTTAAACAATTTTTTTTGCGTCTGGCTTGCATTTGGAGATATTTGTATAGATTAAAATGAGACACCGTATATACATGTTACACATTGATTCAAAATAAAATGAATTGCAAATATTTAATTAGATAAAAGTGTATAACATGTAATACTATATGATTTAGTTCTGACTTAAAAACACTTATTTTTACTCTCGATTATGCACATTTTTATAACAATTTTACACTAAAAATTGAATTTTAGCTAAAAAAATTTGTGTATTTCATATTGTCATTCCTAAAATCGAATTATGAAATAACTTTTTCAAAATAAGGAGGATCAGCATAAGTTATTTGAATAATTTGTATAAATGCTTGCAAATTTAATCAGAAAAATTACGTGTCATAATTTTACGCTGACAGAACATGTTGACTGAAATAGTATTAACAAAAAGTGGTTGTCATGGAATAAAACTATGTTTTTGTGAAAATCCCAGTCAATGTCAGTCATTAGAAAGCCATGATCGAACCGTCAAAGATTGGGGTCTTTTAATGATTTATATATTGTAAATTGCGTGAATTACTACGCTAAATAATCTTAACAATAGCTTTTTCAAAAATAAAATGAATGATACACTACGATTCCAGATAAATAAATTATTTTAATGTAAAAATAAGCATTCAAAATGGTGACTTCAATTTTACGTACATTGTCTTGTAAGAACAAGGTAGAGTATCTAGGTACACTCAAATTTATTTAAAAATTCTCAAAAATTCACAGTAGTTCCTAACGTTAGTAGGTACCAAATGAGTTGAAAACCTCCATAAAAATCTAATATCTTGTAATTCTAAATAGGCCTTATATATATATTTTCGAATAAAATGCCACACTTATTACAATAGAATACAAGCATGTTTAATAGCTTATAATTTTTATGGCGCATGTGAAATACCAAAGTTCCGAGCACATTTGAAGATGAAAATTTTAATTGATGTAAATTTTAGTAAATGTGCGAGACATAAACAATGCAAAATGAAAAATTAGAAAGGGAAAATTTTTTTTAATCAAGTATAAAAAAAGCCTATCTTTCTTATTACCTTATTTTTTAGTTTATCATTCATTATAAAGCAACACTATGTTATGTTAAACTTGGGATATCTTTTCATGAATAGATCATATTTTTTTTCAATGCTAATGCGAAAACATAGGTATCTTTTTAGTCGAAAAAATAAAATCAGTTATGTATAACTATCGAAGAAATTTTAATTCAGTCTAGTTATGATACATATTATAGTTTCTTTGGATTAGCCATATCATAGAACAACTTCAAACATTGCGCAACTCCAGCGACCACCAATATACAAGTTGTTGTAAATAAAATTTTATCAGGAGATCCTCCCATTAAATATACTGGTTTTTCAACATTAACCTGAAAATCGAATAAATTATTATTTACTGATAATATTTATATAGTTACAATAAAGAATATTTATTACCTGAAATTTTTTATACTTTGCAAGCATTTTAGGATTGAGCGTAGAAAATCCCATTGATGATGGTGAAATCGTTCTTAGAGGCTTAGTCTTTATGGAATCCCAAATCATTTCTAGAAGTTCTTTTTTATTCAATGGATGTGTTGACTGAAATAAATAAATAAACAATGAGCCTATGAACGAATATATAAGAACCATTTTATGATATATTGCATTTATTAAAAAATTTTTTTTAATAATAATTTATAATAATTTATAATAATTTATAATAATTTTTATTTATAATACGGTCTTCGATCGGAACAGCGATTAATAGAAAGTTGATATAAAGGGGAGGCAATCACTTTCCATAAAAATGATCATGATGAGTGTCTCGCCGATTGTAGAAATTGGAAATCAAGTCACTACTGGTAGCAGTGAAGGCTATTCACAGCCTCTTTTTTAATTACTTGAAGGTATAATAATGAAACTAAAGAGAATATCCCTTTATGGATTCGCGGAGAGTATCGAGGGGCTTAGCTTAAGTAGGAGTGCATACGCGACTTGATCAACGGTAAGAGAGCGAAGAAAACATACATTATTTCAAATTCATTAGTTATATTACAGATAAATAGATCGATCATGGGGATATAGCAATTCTCTAAAAAAATTGGTTATAACCATGATTGCTCTTTGTAATTCAGATGATTAAATTTTTTCGTTCATACAAATATCATCGTATGGAATAACTAATACTTATACTAGGCACCCAGTATATATATATATATATATATATATATACTACTGTGGGCAAAAAGTAAGGTGAATTTTCAATTTAAACTTCGCGGGTTTAACATTTCGGGCTAGTTCTTTTTTTCTTGAGTTGGTAGGACTGTGAATGACATTTGGGACAAATTTCATGTCAATGTCATCATCAGTAATATATTTACGCTTGTGTTTACCAAACGACCAAGAGTGCATGTTTCGATTTTTACAATGTCTGATTTAATTGAGCAAAGTAGTGCCATCAAATTTTGTTTGCGGAATGAAATTTCGGCTGCGGAAACGTTGAGGATGTTGCGGAAGGCCTTTGGTGATTCTACCATGTCGCAGAAAAATGTTTATAAGTGGTACAAAGACTTCAAAGAGGGTCGAGAACGTGTTGATGACTTGGAGCGCTCCGGACTACCATCGACGTCAACAGATGACCAACACGTCAATAAAGTGAAGGAATTAGTGCTCGAAAATCGTCGGTTGACTGTTAGAGACCTTACTGATATGATCGGAATATCAGAAGGATCTGTGAAAACAATTTTGAAAGACCATTTGGGCCTACGAAAAGTCAAATCTCGTTTGGTACCGAAAACGCTCAATTTCTTGCAAAAAAGTCGCCGCGTTGATGTGTGTGAAACAATGCTTTCTGACTATTAGGACAAGCTCAAATGCATGATTACGGGAGATGAGACTTGGATTTATGCTTACGACCCTGAAACAACCGACCAATCAAGCGAATATCGTGCTAAAGGCGAGGCCAGACCGAAAAGAGCACGTCAAAGTCGTTCAAAAATCAAGGTCATGATGACAGTTTTCTTCGATTTTCGTGGTATGGTGCACTATGAATTCCTTCGACCCGGCCAAACTGTTAATAAGGAATATTATTTGAGCGTTATGCGTCGTTTGCGTGAAGCAATTCGTCTAAAAAGACCAGAATTATGGGCCAACAACTCTTGGTTTTTGCATCACGATAATGCACCATCTCACACTGCACTCGTTCTTCGTGACCATTTCGCCAAAAATTCGACGCATATCGTTCCGCAACCACCGTATTCGCCTGATTTGGCTCCGTGTGACTTCTGGCTATTCCCAAAACTCAAGAGACCACTCCGGGGAACGCGTTTCGAGTCGATTGAGGAGATAAGAGCTGAATCGAAGAAGGCGCTGATGGCTATACCGGAAAGGGACTATTTGGCATGTTTCGAGGATTGGAAAAAACGTTGGCATAAGTGTATTTTATCGGGAGGGGATTACTTCGAAGGGGATGACATTGATGTAGAAGAATAAATAAAGATTTTTCATTTTACAAACAAATTCACCTTACTTTTTGCCCACAGTCGTATATATATATATATATATATATATATATACACGTATATAGCGTACGATCAGACGAATTCTAGTACAATTACTTATTGCAAGGACAATAGTTATTATAAGGACCAGTCAAAATAAAAGATTATATTTCTTGGACAAATATTCTAACAATATACACATATATATACAACTATATAAATTCAAGGACAAGTCTATTAATAATAATAACCAATAAACATTTAACAAGTAAGTAACTTAAGGTTCATTATTATAAAACTGTCTTCTTCTTACCTATTTCTCTATAATAATAATACTTGGAAAAATTACCATTTGGCAAATTCCACGTATTCATTTTGTGTACAACTACATATATATATGTAGATGTGTATGCGATCGTTAAATTCTTAACTATCTTGGCTTTGGTGTTTTGCTCTCGCGACTCTTTTCATTTATTGTCATAAATACCGGTCGGACCAGCGTAATATGATTTGTTCAATTACATAGTATGATAGCCTACGCTGACGAAGTGTTTAAAAATTAAGCACGTCCCCAGATAACATGATATACATGTGTACAGGATAAATAGTACGTCTGCAATATTTTGACTATATTTAAAAGAACTCAGTTCCAAATTGTTAAAACTCTTGAGTAAGCTTTAACTTCAACTATACATAATTATAATTAAATCAACGATAAATCGGCTTCAAGAGAAATTTCCTTAACGAATAGATTATTACCTGTAATTCGGAAATATATATAAATTTAGTAGTATATTTATTGTTACGAATAATTTTTCAATAGATTAAATCGCAGCCCTATTACTACAGTTAATACCTTTGTCTTTAACCAGTAGAGTCGAGACTAATGAGAATTTCGACCTATATAATTATTTTATTATATATATATAAATAATCGTGCCTATATTTGCAATAGTAGTAGAAGGACCTCTATATAAATATATTCTAGTTATTTGATTTTTTTTAAATATTTATGTCCCATAAATATACCTATACATAAAATATATTTAATAATTTACTTGCGAGCGTTAAGTGAGCGGGGCCTCATACATGCAGCAATTCACCACATCGAGTTGTATTGTCACTCGTTTGCTAAAAGGACACTAACGACGTGTGTGTCTACTCGAAAACACGTCACAGATGGTAGCAGAACGTGGTTTATTGCTGTTTTAATGCTCTTAATTAATTAATTATTAACTTTTAATATCAAAAAAAAAATATATTTACCAAATGGGTATATAATTTATACCCATGATACCATTCCCGAAATAAATAGTATGTGACGGTAAACGTCAAGTTAGCGCTAACTAGTTAACCTTATCGTTGTCCGTGAGGGCAGCACCTTCCGGAGGGACAAAAATATGTAATAAAGGAATTCGGCACGCGAGCAGACGGAACGCGCGCGAACGAATTTGAACCAGTGGAGCCGAGACCATCCTGGAGTCCGCCCGCTATCGTTACTATCGTCGCTAATTCCCGTGTCCTCGTCATACACACGCCTTAAAAAAACAGCTGAAACTAGTGATTCAGGAGTGTTGCCGCTAAGGGGCTGCCCAGCTGCGAGCCAGGGACGAGAACGAGAGAGAGAGTGCGAACGGTTTCGCCATCGAGGGCGAAACCAGTGCGTGCGTGCGTCCGCGACTCGCGAACACCAAAAAAAGAAACAATAACAGAACTGTGTCGAGTGGTGCGGAGTACCCGTTGTTGCTCCTCGATCGCCTGCAAGTAAAAGGTAAGCTGGCCAGCTTAATTTCGCGACCGCGACTACATAAATAATAATTCAATCTTAATATTCGATGCGTGCATGTAAGGCTCTAATATCAGAGAGCAGCGAGCGTACCGGCGAAGCATGTTGTCGAAGAGCGAGCGTGCGTGTAAACAAACGCGCGGGCCGACCTTTGTGAGTTAGAAAGATAATAAAGCATCCGATCTATAATACTAACAAGTGTTTTCGTTGATTCTCTCCTCACATAGCTTCCACTCAATTCAGTTAGGTTATAAACGATAATCGGTTGACTGGCGTATGCTTCCTCATGCTCTCCCGTATTAATAGCAGTGAGCTTTGACAATTTCGCGTGTCTTTTCCAGGTAATCGCGCGACATAATTTATTAAACGGTCATACCCCGTTACAAGTAATATTAAATAACGCGTAATAAATTACGTTACGTTCACGATTTATAGGAACGTACATTCAGAACATAAGTTTTAGTTAATTAAGTATATATATATCTTGAATCATATATATATCCATCTATATATTCAACTATATATATCTACCTTAAACCTGTAACCGATCCCTATGATAACGTTTTGAATACGTTAAAATAGAAGGATAATATTATACGATTAGTGTAAAAATCAAGGGTAAGACTGATAGTACGCATTCAAATTATTTGAGAACAAAATGACAGACCCTGCTGCAGTAGCAGCGGCGCAACAGCAGGCGCAAGAGCAACAACAAGCAACTCTCGTTATGCTGCAATCGGCATCAGCGAGTTTTGCTTTACAAAATTTCTTGTTAGGAATCCCAGAGTTCGATGGAAGGAATCTTCTATTAAAAGATTTTATTCAAGACATAAAAAATGGATCTGCCACGGTACCTGCCGCCCAAAGATCAAACTATGTAAAGGCCGTCATAGCGAAATTAAGGGGGCCGGCTAGTGACTGTTTGTATGGCAAAACCGTTAATACTGCAGAAGAATTAACGAAAGCTTTAAAGGAAAGATTTGCACCGTGTAAGGATTTCGCTTATTATGATGCAAGATTACACGCGTTAAGAATGAAACAGGGAGACACTGTCGGGGATTTTCACGACCGAATAAATATATTGTTGAATTGCGCAGAACATGCATTGAAGGACGAACTGGGAACACAATTTAATGAGATTATGTTAACACCATTGAAGTCAGCTGTAGTAAAGATATTCGTAAACGGTTTACCTAAAGAAATAGGGAATCTAGTGGATGTCAAATGCCCTACTTCTTTGAGCGAAGCTTATAAAGAAGCCTTGAGAATTGAGGCACGAAATAATATGAAACCTAAGTTTGAAGCTAACAAAT